TCTTTGAAGAAACAAAACAGCAAGAATAAAACAGATGAACCTCTGGAATATCAAGGAGAAAGAAAGGAGACAGCATAAACAAACAAAATTAGAACCCAAGAGGATTTGACAACAGATATAGAACTGGAGGCGGAAGAGGCAGGCGGGGGCCTGGGACTAGCACACCACACCTGGAAACTTTCACAGCTGGGTCTGCTGTTCCTGCCACATGGTTCTACCTTACAGCACATCAGGACAGCAGAAGAGTCCATCTCCCTTCCAGGTGGGGAAACTGAGTCTCAGAGAGGTGATGTGACTTGCCCAAGATCACACAGTGTTAAAGGAAGTCCTGCTACAAGAATTCAGATTTCTAGAACCTAAACAGCATCATAATTGCCTTGGTCCTAAATTTGAAGAGGACTTTTCTATCTGCAAAATTCAAAGAGGGCTTTTATTTTGCTGAAGTTTCCTCCCAACTATTATTTCATCAACTTCATAACAATCCTAAGAGGTAGATGAGAGTGCTAAAATTATCTCTGATAAGTGGAATCAGACCTGCTGAGGAGGATGAAGTTCAGAGAGGTAAGGTCACAAAGCATGCATCCAATTGGAAGAGTCAAGGTCAAAACCTATCTCTCCAGCTTCTAGCCCTCTGCCAGCCACTGTATCAACATACAAGATGTGATATGTTATGTGCATAACCTCTGGCATCATGGAGACATAGACCCAAATCCCAGCACTGTTACCTGTGAACTGTGTGCCCCTGACACACTGCTTAACTCTTCTGATCCTTAGGAATGATGCCCCACTTAGAACTGTTGCAACAATTAAATGAGAATGCAGGAGGTGCCTCGGAAGAAAGGCCTGGGGATCTACTTCCAAAAAATCAGCTATTGAAAACCCTATGGAGCACAGTTCCACTCTGACATACCTGGGGTCACCATGAGTCAAAATCGACTCGATTGCAACTGGTATCGTTATGTTTAAATGCAGTAAGAATGAACTTGATCCTGATAAACTGCCCCTTATCGTTAAGCCATTTTTCCCTCCCTGCACTTTGCTGTCTACTTCAGGGGAGGAGACAAGCCAGGCGCTACCCCATGAAGAAGGCTGTGACATAGGATAGACCCTACAACACAGTGTGGGAGAAAGATGTTCCCTTGTGGCCCTGGAGAACCATGGGAAGGAGAAGGAAGAGAAGATGCAGGCGAAAGGTAGGCTATATAATCCAGGGGGAGGGTGAAAGCAGAAGGCTTTGCCTCACTCCTCCTTTGGAGCCCTGGGCAGAGACTTATGTAGAGGGCAATATCATCACAGCATCAGCGGGGTGGGGGCAGAAAATGGAGGACCCCAAGGCAGAGCACTTGGCTTTCCACAAAGGGGCTCAGAAATGAGAGATGACCAAAATGCTGAGAGAGAAGGGTCTGGCGGTGGTTTGGGGTTGGGACAAAGGCCCAGGGGTCGGGAGGCAAGAGGCCAGGACCTCAGACTCTATCTAGCATGATGCCCAAGGCTAGGTGGGAGCAGTCCCTCCCCAGTGGGCACTAGTTCAGGGACCAGGCAAGCTCCACCACTCTGCAACAGCAGAGGCCAGTGAAGAGCCAGGGGGCACCACGTGCAATAAGTGGCCCCCTCTCCTCAGCCACCATGAGGTGGAAAACTGCAGAAGAAAGTCTACATCAATTACATAAAATTAAGAAGCCTTTGAGTTGTAGTGTTGGCAAAGTATATTGAATATACCATGGACTGCCAGAAGAACGATCAAATCAGTCTTGGAAGAAGTACAGCCAGAATGCTCCTTAGAAGCAAGGATGACGAGACTTTGTCTCACATACTTTGGACGTGTTATCAGGAGGGACCAGTCCCTGGAGAAGGACATCATGCTTAGTAAAGTACAGGGTCAGCGAAAGACAGGAAGACCCTCAATGAGATGGACTGACACAGTGGCTGCAACATGGACTCAAGCATAACAACGATCATGAGGATCATGCAGGACGGGGCAGTATTTCATTCTGTTATATATAGGGTCAATATGAGCTGAATCAACTTGACTGCACCTAATAACAACAACAACAACATATTTTTGCTACCTACTACCTATCAGCTTGTCATACAGTGTTGCTATGATGCTGGAAGCTGTGCAACCAGTATTTCAAATAAATATCAGCAGGATCACTCATGATGGACAGGTTTTAGTTACAGTGGGGCTTCCAGACTAAGAAGAAAGGCCTGGTAATCTACTTCCCAAAATTAGCCAATGAAAACCCTATGGATCAGAACAGAATATTCTCCAACTGGACTGAAACATGCCAACAATCACGGAGATGGTGCAGGACTAGGCAGCGTTTTGTTCTGTTATGCACTGCGTCTCCATGAGTCAGAGCCAACTCGCTGGCAGCCAACAACAACAATATTTTTTCTGCACTTCTGATTAATGCTGTGTGAATCTGTGGTTCTGTATGACACCTGCAAAGTGTTCATTTAGCCCAGTGCCTGGCATCTAGTAAGAGTCAATAAGTGCTAGCTATTGTTATTATAATTATTATTATTATGTTCTCTCATGTCTCAATTATACCCTCCGGGGATCATGGGTTCTTCCTCTTTACCCTCTTTCATTTTGGCTTTAAGAGGAAGAAACACACTCCCTGTAAGTGAAGGATGTTGGGACCAGGCAAAGCCAAACCATCCATATGTTGGAAAAATTATCCAAAACTTGGAAATACAGCAAAAAAAAAAAAAATGACTGTGATTTTCAAGGTCATGCTGGAGCATTTTCTAATTCATTATCTCCTGCCTCGGGAAATATGATTTTGTGTGACTTACTATTCACAATGGAGTAGTGCCCAGATGGTCCCCAGGTCTGCGAAGCAGGACATCACCTTTTAGAAAACTGCGGTGAGATCTTTTTGTTGTTTTGTCTGGTAGATAAGATAACCGCAAAGGTTATGATTTTATGGCTCTGTTTATGAGCCAGTTTTATATCTAACTTAGCAGTTATTTCAGCATTTCTTTTTCCACTGACTATATAAATACCAAGGTCCCTGTCTGGCTCAAATAGTTCGCCTTCGACTACTAACATAAAGGTTACGGTTTCAACCCACCCAGTAGTGCTGCAGTAGAAAGGCCTGATGATCTGCTTCCATGGATTCCAGCCAAGAAAACCCTATAAGGCAGTTCTATTCTGTCCTATAGGGTCGCTATGAGTCGGAGTCAACTCGATAGCAACTGGTTTGGTTTTCTTGGTATATCTCTGTGCATGTATATATATATATATATGTATGTGTGTGTGTATATATATTTTTTTTTCAGAGCCCTGGTGGCACAGTGGTTAAGAGCTCAGCTATATGCCCCCTTTAGACAGGACATGGATTCTCCGTTTGCCTAAATCTTTACTGCTCCCTGTTGTATTACGTCTGCCTCAGGTTACACAGTTACATGACTTCATTGGGCCTGTGGCCACTTTATCAGTTTCTAAAACTCTTTGGAATTAGCCATTTGCCCTGCTGGTGACCTCATTCATGAGCTAAGTAAAACTTTGACAAATGCTCATTATCTATTTTATGAGAACTGTGTTTTTAACAATTTGCTAATTGTGCTTTGACACAGATGAGGTCAAGGCTATGCCCCCCTTTTTGTACACTCTGAGTGCCTGTCCTTCCCCTTCACATCACTCATCACGTTGTCATTGACCAGTTATTTGTGTAATTGCTTGTCCAACATGTATATTCCCCCTAGAAGCTAAGCTCCATCAGGGCATGTCTGTCTTACACCTTAAGGCATCTCTACAGACAAGGATATAGCAGGCACTCAATATATATTTAAAAGAAAGTCTGATAAATATGGAAGAGAGGCAAAGAAGTTGTATGGAGGAGAGGCAAGGAAGTCGTAAGGTGTATGGCAGAAAGGATGTGTGATGTGTGGTCTAGATGATACATTCTCTTTCTAGCTAAACCAGTTTGTGTTTGATTTCCTTTCACTTGCAGCAATAAAAAGCCATAGAGAAGATCATTCAGAAATGAGACAAATTATCTTAAAGAGTTTATACCAAAAAACCAAACCCGCTGCCATCAAGTCGATTCCAACTCATAGTGACCCTATAGGACAGGGCTCCTAAAAAGCTGATAACAGCCCCTAATCACCACTTTTCCCAAAGTTACGATAACAGGTTAGATTATTGACTCCTTTTCTTGGATAGGAGCCCTGCTGGCACAGTGCTTAAGAGCTTAGCTGCTAACCAAAAGGTCAGCAGTTTGAATGCACCAGCCACTCCTTGGAAATCCTATGGGACAGTTCTAGTCTGTACTATGGGGTAGCTATTACTCGGAATTGACTCAACGGCAAAGGGTTTTGGTTACTTGGATAACTGTGAAATAGTTGCCAAGGGGGCTCACTCAACCTCTTTTTTTGCTAACATCGGGCACAGACCTTACCATAAGAAGGGAACAAAGCAGAAACTCCAGAACAAAGGAGATGTTGCAGCTGACCGTAATAGCAACCCCCAGTACCTCTGTGGTCAGGCTTGGTAAGCGTCAGGGGCACCTCCTTAAGGAATCAGAATCAGAGAGTGGGCTGCTCACATCTTTTGGATAAACTGAGAGAACCACTATAGCGGCCACAGGGCCAGTCAAGTCATATAATTGTGTAATGTGGGGCAGACGTAATATAACAGGGAGCAGTAAAGATTTAGGCAAATGGAGAATCCATGTCCTGTCTCAAGGGGGCATTAACTACTCAGTTATTGCCTTGTAGGCCCATTGTTGCCACATCCCCTGGCTTTTCAAGAGAAGTCAAAAATCCAGACTTCTATGGGAAATCTCCTAATTTTTTAAATATTGGCTTTCTTGTTGTTATTTTGGTACAAAGACCAAATAAAACCTATCTACAAGACAGAGCCAATCTACCAGCCAGCACTTGGTGACTGTCTTTAGTTTTGCACTTTTAGGAGAGAAAGGGAAACCCACTTGATCCCATATTTGATAGTCCAAGCCATACCGCAGCTTTCAAAGCAAAATCTTTCTTACCAGCCATCAACACCAGCTTTCTGCAGTTCAGAAATCCCAAATGACAATGATCCCATGAAGTCATTCCTGCTGGTTAGATCCCAATCCCAAATCTCTACAGACAGTCTTCTGTCTTTGTCAGATTCTTTCAGCTGGCTGCAGAGAGAAAAACAAGAAGTCACCAGTGATTGTAGCGATTTCTCAAGCAGATGAAATGTACATGAGGACAAGACCCAGAGGTAAGACTCTGAAAAGATTACAAGCTGTTGCAAGAATCATATTCTGTTTGTCTCCCGGGCTAGCTCCCCAGGGAGCAAGAGCTTCTCCTCTTTGACAGCCTGTGGCTTAAACAGGCAGAGAACCTAGGCCATTTCTGACAGAAACAGTTCTAACTGCTTCTGCTGTCTTATGTCTTCATAGAGTTAGTGGTGTTCAGGAAGTCTTACAGACACAGAGTCACTTTAAGAAATATGGATATCAATTATACAATTGTGTGAATATGTGTGTGTATAATTGTGTGTATTTGGAGTCCCTGGGTGGTGCAAATGATTAATGGATTTTGCTGCTAATCAAAAGACTGGAGGCTCAAGTCCACCCGGAGACATCTCAGAAGAAAGCTCTGGTGATCTACTTCTGAAAAATCAGCCACTGAAAACCTATGGAGCACAGTTATACTCTAACACACATGGAGTCACGATAAGGTGGAGTCAACTCAGTGGAAACCTACATGTTCACATATATGTGTGTTGAGGATGAGGCTGCTGTATGGAAGAATTTGTCTGTTCTGAGGTGTGGCCTTGATTGGGGCTGAGATGGCCCCAGTTTTGCCCTGACAGAGGAAAGAAGGGATGGGGCTACCACAAGGAACCATGCTTTTTCACAGTGGCTAAAGCATGACTACCTGAGGTTGAATCCTACTCTACCTTGAATTTACTGTGGGACTTTGGGCAAGTTAGTTAAACTCTGTAAGCCCCACCGGGGTTGATCCAAGGGCTGATCCAAGCCAATGAAGCCTTATCACTTAACATAGTGCTTCTCATACATAGTATGTGCTCAGTAAATAGTGCTGTTCTAATTAATACCTGTTGGCCTAGATGCATCGTTGGAGCACTGGCCAGGGAAGACCCTCAGTGGAAGCTGGGGGAAAGATCCCAGCAGGCTGCAGGCCCAGTATCATCCATAAGCCCAGCCACCAGGAGGTCATCACACCTATGGGTTATGCCCCACTCTTTACCAACTTCTCCAGCAACTTGCTTTCACATTGCCGCACACTCACACTCTTCCTGTCCCACCTACTCCTCCACACCACAGGTACTCTCAACTCCATTAAAAAAGAAGAAGAAACACGTTTCAGTTTTATTTGGCTCTCAATGCAAAAATGCAGGTGATGGTAGGAAGGTAGGAGGGAAGGAGGGAGAAAGGAAGGGAAAGAAACAGAAAGAAATGACAGAAACTACCCAACCTCAACGGGCCCACAACCCAACCTCCACCGCCCATTCTGGGCTGGAATCATTTGAACTTACAATTTAAATGTCTCATTCCACTCAGGGTTGAGGGAGCACTTGATGGTTTTGGTCTTCTGCTTGCTCTCACTTTTGGGATCAGGAATCAGTTTCAGTTTTACGTAGGGATCTGACAAGCCATTGGGGTCCATAGGTACGAGGTTTTTAGCATCTCTTACTAAAAAAGGAAAAGCAGTTTCAGCATTAATGGCCCTAAAATGTTTAAGGACCTACCAGTGGTGGCTGTAGAACCTGTGGAAGGGTCTTTGGCACCACACTTGCTTTAACAGGAATTTGAATTTATTGACACCAATAGCTAAGAAGCATATTAAGTAAGATTAGCTGGTATGATGCAGACTTTGCTCTATATTGGTTTAGAATTGATTTCCTACTTTCATCCTGCTCTCCTCACCTCACCCCAAAATTAACTGTAAATTCCCTAAGCTTGTTTCCCACAAAGCCCAGAAGAAAGACTTGACCTCTAAACCAAGATGCACCTATCACCCATGTATCACCCATAACCAGCATCCAACTGAACCCACAGAAAGAAGGCTGGAAATACTGGCAGCATTATAACTAGGGCTGGCAGACACTCTATGAGATCAGTTTTAGAGAAGGAAAGGAAGCAGAGGGTCAGTAGTGGAGATGCAAATGGAAAGATGAGGTAGAATAAGACATGGGCCTGGAGAAACAGGAAGAAGATAGTTAACTAAGAGTCAATTCCAAAGCTGGTAATCTAGGTGGTCACAGGAAGGAGGCTAGAAAATGGGATTTAAACAGATATTAAGAATACAGTAGGAGCCTTGGTGGCACAGCGGTTATGAGCTTGGCTGCTAATCAAAAGGTCAGCAGTTCAAACCCACTAGCTGCTCCACAGGAGAAAGATGCATCAGTCTGCTCCCGTAAAGATTATAGCCTTAGAAACACTATGGTGCAATTCTACTCTGTCCGATAGGGTTGCTAAGAGTCGGAATTGACTCGACAGCACCAGGTTAAGAATACAGCACCAACATTCTCATTTATTGCTATAGATAAAAAAATCCAAAATAACATATTAGCAAATTGAATCAAACTAGATGCTAAAAGGCTGATACATAATGACTGCTACCAGGATTGCAAAGATGGCTCAACCTTAGGAAATCTATTATTAAGCTATTCATCATATTTATAGGTCAGTAGAAAACCATAGGATCATTGCAATCAGGGAAGTTTCTTAACAGGATAAAGGCTATTTACCTACAATAATAACATCACATTGAATGATAAATGCAATTCCATTGAAGTCAGAAATACGACAGAGACATTATTACAGCCATTACTCAACATTTTTTTAAGACAAGGAAAAAAAGGCTCTAAGTTCAAGATGATAAGAAACACAATTGGAAGAGGGAATACTGGAAAGCAGGAGACAAAGGCCCCCTCACTTCGTGGAAACTTATTTCCACCCAGTTATACTGACTTCCATCTATGGTCACACCCTGGACTTTATCAGCACAGAAATTATACTACTCCCTCCATCTCTATTTATGTATCCCACTATCTTACGCCACTCCGCACTTTTCGAGTTCATTAACTCTTGCACCCCACTGCAACCATTCTTCCACCATCAATTAGTCCTTTGAGCCCAGTGTTTTTTCTAACTCCCTACTCCCTCTTGCCTTTACTCCATTCACCCAGCTTAGATTTTATGGTGCATTATAATCACTCCCTTACAAACACCCATAACTCCCTTGCCCCTCTTTCTTTCATTTTATGTATCATATAAAACCACATCCCTGGTTAAATTCAAATATCTTCCCTTTATTTTCCTTCCTTCAAATGGCTAAGCGTTGCTGGGCGGTGCGGGGGAGACTGACTTGCTAATATCATAGAGCTAATATAGGGGGATTCCTGGGTGGTGCAAATGGTTAATGCACTCGGCTGCTAACTGAAAGGTTGGCGGTTTGCATCTACCCCGAGATGCCTAGAAAGAAAGGCCTGGTGATCTACTTCTGAAAATTAAGCCACTGGAAGCTCTATGGAGCACAGTTCTACCCTGACACACAGAGAGTACCTATGAGTTCGAATCGCCTTAATGGCAACTGGTTTGGTTTTTGGCTTTTAGTAAGGGGTTGAGCCTGAATAAATGAGATGAGAAAAGGGCTGGGTGGACCACTGGATGAATGACAAGGGGCCCCAGGACGCAAGTCATAACTTACTCTGCACTGACATCTGTCTGCACTCCTTGAAAATGATATATCTGACCGTTCCATTTGAACCCTTCTAGAGAAGTGTCGGAGCTCTGGTGGCATGGTGGTTAAGTGCTCTGGCTGCTAACCAAAAGGTCACCAGTTCGAATCCACCAGCTGCTCCTTGAAAACCCTATGGGGCAGTTCTACTCTGTCCTATAGGGTCACTATGAGTCGGAATCGACTCGACGGCAATGGGTTTAATTTAGAGCAGGGCTTCTAGTGTGCCTAAGAATCACCTGGGCAGATTCTGAGTCAGTAATTCTGAAGTGAGACCTGATAATTTGCTTTTCTAACAAGTTCCCAGGTGATACTAATGCTGCCAGCACACAGAACACCATCCTAGATGATGATGATTTCTTCAGATACCCATGCATTTTCCCCATAGACTACAATCGCCACCTGCTTCTTTCTCTTATTTCCAGTGCCTCCAAGGAAAAGAGCATGTGCAGTGTTTAGGCCAGGATCTTCGAATGGCACATCGATCACAAAGTGAGCTGCATTAAAAACACGATTAGAGACACCCTCCCGTGCCAGAAACTTGTCTGCTGGTTGATTAGCAACACATATGCAAATGGAAACAGCTTTCTTCTCTCTGGTAAGACCCCCTCCCCTCTCCCTCTCTTATTAACTGATGCCCCAAGAGCAGTCACTGAATGAAAATTCTTCTATTGTAAGTTTACAACTTCACAGCTCTTCCAGAGTGTTCTTTATAGAACAAGAGTGTGTTATACCCTTATGCTGCCAGTCTCATGACTAATGGCTTAAGAATGACCTCTCCTTGAACATCTACTTTCCCTGGACTCAACATTTCTAAATGAAGCGTGGCTCCACCTCGTCCTTGACTCCTGTAGTTCCTTTCTTCTACTTCTGCCCTTTGGAGTCCATCCTCTACCAAAGGGGCCCCAAACTGCCTGTGGCAAGGAAGGGGGTAGAGTTGATTCTAGAACTGTTGCCACTCATGTCTCTGAGAGCTTTGGCTACTAAGACCACTGTAGCATGAGCAGTTGACAGTAGCTTCAGGCTAAGATCCAAAGGCCTGGCCCTCCTGAAGCTTTTCAAAGTAGAGTTGTGTTTCCCACCAGCAAGAGAGCCCGCCTATGTATTGAGGAAGCAAATCTCTCTAGACCACACTTGGCGAGAATGACTTTGATTTTTTTTTTTTGATAAATGTTTCTTTACTATCTTTGTTGAAATCCAGCCAGCCCAGATGGTACAGAATGCTTCACACTAGCAGAAATAAGAACCTTCCCCCTGGTGGAAGTTTGCTAAATGTACAGGAGAACAGTCTCCTGATCCAGCGAACACTGCTCGCCTTGGACATGGAGCTGGGTGGGAGGTAAGGCCTGGCTCTTTCCACTAAAGGGTCTTCAGAGCAAGTATGGCCTCGACCTTCTGGTTAAAGTTACCCAAGATGGTGCTGAAGTCATGAAAAAGAGAGCATTCATGTTAACTATTTTCATATGAATTTTTCTTCACCAAGCACTTTCTTAGCCTCCTCCCCACTAAGAAAAAGATACAATTATCTGCTAGAAAACTCTGAATGATTACACTGTTTTAATGCCTTTATCCCACGCTGTGTCAGTCAGGAACATCTCATTATTAACTGCTTTTGAAGGTACTTTCCTCAATATCTTGAGTCCTCATTTGTCCCCACTATGTGTCCTCAGGGCCCCTGGTGGCGCAGTGGTTAACCGTTTGGCTGCTAACCAAAAGGTTGGTAGTTCAAATCCACCAACCGCTCCCTTGGAAACCCTATGGGACAGTTCTACTTTGTCCTATAGGGTCGCTATGACTTGGAATCGACTCGACAGCAAAGGGGATGTGTCCTCAGACCAGCAATTCAAAGCAACACCCACTCACATTTAGTTACGTATGAGGATGTTTGCAATGGCAGAGAGTAGGAAATAACCTAAGTGCCCATTAACAACGGAAAAGTAAACAAGCTATGGCATATTATGGCATCATACTATGAAGTATTAGGCACATGTTAAAAACATTGAGCTATCCATGTGTAATAACATGTTGGGGAAAAAAGCAAAGTGAAGACAGATGATTACAATATCGTGCCTCTTTAAGAAAAAGGTTTGAGGACGTTAGTGGTTCAACTGGTGAAATCTGGATCTGGGCTATCGATGAGATAATAGCACTGGGTCAGTACTACATTTCCTAACCCGGACAACTGTGTACTACACCTATGTAAGAGAATGTCCTTGTTCTTGGGAAATACATGCTGAAGTCAGTAGGGGTAAGTGGAGACCATGACTCCAACATATTCTCAGGTGACTCAGAAAAAAAATACATATATATATATAGAGAGAGAATGATAAACTAAAATGGGGCACAATTTAAACAAGTAATGAACCAGGTAGAATATATGGAAATTCCTTGTACTATTCTTGTACCTTTTTTATAATTTTGAGATTGTTAAAAAGGTGTTTTCTTTAAAAAGGGAAACCCTCCAAATCTGCAAAAGAAAGGGTACAATAAATATATTTTCTACAAGGTCATATATGTTTGTAAATATATAGAAAAGCATCCAAAAAGACATATACAAAATTTATTTGTACAATGGTTACATCTGAGGAAGAGGAAAAGGGACCTGGTTTGGGGGTTGGGGGTGGGTAACAGATTTTAGCTTCATCTGCACGACTCTTGTATTCTAATTCACATTCTAATGTACTCTTGCGTTAATTGTGTTATTAATTTTAACTTATTAAATGATTCAGTTGTGTGTTGACAGCCTCTGAGAATCATGGGACTCAGAAAATGAGCTCCACAGTGAATAACAGGCAGACCCAGGGTGACCCCACTGAGATCATTCAAACACCTGCCCCAGGGGCAAAGCTACACACATGCCCGAGGGTCAAATGGGTGGAGGCAGCCAGAGCAAACAGGTGAACACTTTCAGAGCCATCAACCAGTTTTGGCAACGCTGCCCTGCCCCTCT